GCGGCGGACGCGGGCTGAAGGTGGCAGAGACGCCGAGCAGCGCCCTCTCCCCGCGCCCTTCGCGCTGCACGGCTGCGCAGACTCGGGACCTTGACCCTGAGGGCCGGGAGACTTGGCTCCCTGAGAGACCTGGGAAGGGTCGCGGGGAGATCACCGGTGGACTGCTGTCACCTTTCCCCCTCTCATCTGTCTGTAATCGTTCCTTGGCCCCTCAACTGCTGCAGAGAACCTCTCTCTCCCCACCATCCATCCCCCCAAACCAGCATCCTCTTGCCCTGGAATTTATGCTTGGTCCATGGATGCGCTGGTGTCTGCCCCGGCATCTAAGGACGTGATCACGATTCTTTATCTCCGCAGCTCCCGCTCACTTTGGACTTGGTTTGAGCGTTGTTTGAGGGCGCGCAGTGTGGTCCAGCGTTGTGCTGCCTGGGTGCTTTTCTGGGTGTGAATCTGGGTATTCTCTCCATTAATTGGTAGCAGGGGTGTTGATGTATAACAGCGCCTTTGGAGACAAACAGACTTGGAGCCAAACTCAGAATCTGTTGTTGACAAGCTGTGTGACCTTCGATAAATTATTCAACCTCAGTCAGTCCTGTCTTTCATAGGGTGGAATACCTACCCCATAGGTTTGTTGTAAGATAATGTATGATGCTCAGTACAGTTGTTGAACAGATTCAGCACACTGCTCAAAGCCATGCTAGCTGCCCGAGGTCAACACTAGGAAGATGAAAGTTAGGTCACCGGCTTGTCAATGGGACTGTTTGTCAGGATATCACAGTTAGACTGCCTAAAACTCCGGAAGCAATAGGGAGGCATCTGCTTTAATGAGGATAAAAATAAAAGTGGCAGGCCTCTGCTCGGAATTTGTGGATTCAAATGAAGCATAACTATGCACTGATTTAGGACCGCTAGTCTCAAAAAAACTCCCCTTCTGTATTTCTACTGAGTTGAGGGTCTCTTGCTGGCTTCTGTGTAGCCTGTGGACTCTTCACCTTTTTTTTTTAGAGGATTGGATTTTTATTTGTAAAAGGCCAAGGCAGTACTTTGCATTTTGACTGGTTTTTGCTGAGTCACTGTCACTCAGTCTTGAGTCTTGAATCTGGCAGAAATGGGGACGGCGGAGTTTAATCTTTTGTGTGAGTGGTTTCACTTTTTGGTTCTGTATTCTATTGAAGGAATGAGGGGAGAGAGGCAGTCCTGATGGAGACAGCCCCCGGTTGGGTATCACTCTCAGGACAGGGGAGCTGGCGTGTTTCCATCTACCGCCGGTAGAGGGAGCTCTATGGATAGCTGATTTATACGGGTTTAGGGAAATCTGTTCTATCCAGCAACCTGAGGCCCAGAGAAGTGAAGTTGCCTATGGCTACCTCCCTTGATACAAAATTAAGACAGGTTTTGTTTCTAACGGTGCCCACTCTCTTTCCTGGCTGACTTCTCAGTCAGGCACAGTAGGTAAAATGTCTAGGCCTCAGAGTACTTTTAGGGGCACACAAAAAAGTTTAATTTCTTCTAAAATCAGAAGAAAAAATAAACTTTTATGTTGGCTACTAATATATTAATCTTTATACCAATGCAGATGTAAATTGTGATTTTTTTCAAAAACTTCTGTTTTTATGAAGGAAGGGACCCACCAAGGCAAAAGTGCCTAATAGGGTGTAGGAAATTCATTGAGTGTTGTCATCTGTGTCGGTCCTGTCCCCCACGTGCCCCCCGCTTCTGTGCCCTTGGCAAGCTCCCATTCGGAGCAGGAACAATTACCTCCTTGTTCCTGTCTTGCTTCTAGATTGCCCTGATCCACCCCCCCCCCCAGCTGGCCAGCTGTGCTCACCAGGGCTCCTAAGGATAAGACCACCAGGTGATGGGGACCTTCCTTCTTTTCTCCTTGGCTTGCCCTTGTCCTGAGAATCCCACCTCCTAATCTTCACCCTTCTCCATCCTCTCCCCCATTGGCTATAAGGGAACTCTGGTGACCACAACATATTAGACTTGTGTAGAAGTGAGTTGAAATTGTTTGTTTTATCTCAAAAGTTTCTGGACCTTAAAACTGAATCTCATTTATCTACACAAGGAGACCCACCTTCACTTCAAAAGCCCCACCCAGTGTTGCTTTATACACGAATCTAAATTGTTGTAAAAGATGCATTGCTGAATACCTGAGCGTGATTTTCTTTTTTTAAATTCACTAAGGAAAATAGTTACTTAGAAATCTAAGGTGAACCTTTTAGAAAGGGAAATTTTCTTTTTAATGACAATAGAATGATCATTTGGTAATTTCTTACTGAGAAGCATGTTTACCTCTCAACTGATGCCTCTGTTTCCAGAAAGTTCGAAGTGGTAGACTCATGCTATCTATTTTATAACAAAGCCACCTGTATTAGGAAAGAGGGGGTGGGGTGGAAAGAAAAATAATTCCATACACTTCTTATTTGTCAGACAGTTTTCTTAATATTGGCAGCAGTACGTTAACTTTCCTTTAAAAGTCATGTCTTTGTTTTCATAGTTATTGTGAACGAAAATACTGCAATGTGAGTGAAATACTGCAACCATATCAGTAAACAAAGAATGCTGAAACCAAGTCATCAGCGGCTGCCGCCACCCCCCAGTGGGGACAGGCCTGCAGCCCAGCCTCTGCAGCCACTCACAATGGTGCCCTCTGAGCGGACTCAGAATAAGAAAGGACAGGATACTGGCCCTAGATAGCTAGGTGCCTGTCAAAGGAATGAATTCAGTGAGCCCAAATGTTTGCTTCCTCCCATACATAGAAAAGCACTAAATTCTTTAACTTGAGATGCCTGGTTTTCTTTAGATAACAAGCAATCTTTTGTTGTTCCAACTACCTGGTCTTTGTTGTAAAGCTCCTATATAACCTAGCTCCTCCCCTACCTCTTCAGAGCAGTCCCTCAGAGCGATTTGAGAGGCTGTCATCCTGGCTCGAGTCCTCCCTCCAAATAAAACATAACTTTTAACTTTTAGGCTGCAAGTTTATTTTACTCAGCATTATAAAAGTAACACAAACTTCATAAAAGCTCAAGCAAGTATTGTCCTATAAAGACTCTATTTCATAACTGTCACACTATTCTGCCTAAGCAAAGAATTCCCTCCTATTTTACGCACATAAAATTAAGTCCTTCTGAACCTTAAACACACCAAAAAAATGTATAGAATGAGAAATCTGGGATTCATATTGCTTAGTTACTGAACCCTGAACCCAGTTCCTTCTTTGGTGCTTTTTGGATGGGTTAGTTTTATGAAATGTGGTTTGTTTTAGATGACATTAGGACACAATTAGACTGTTTTCAGGCAGTGTTATATTTTCCCTGTCGACCCTTTGAATCATCTTACTGTTATTCACTGAATACTCCCAGATGCTCTGGGCTTACAGAGCCCTAAGTTATAATCACCACCATCTCACCTGCAGGCTCTGGAAAGCCCAGAGTGAGAGGGGAACAAACTCCATGGCCTCTGGTGGCCAGAAGGGTCATGGAAACCTGCACACATTTTGTGGATGGCGAGGACTGAAGGACATGGGGAGGGCATGCTCTGTCTGGGGCCAGGGGGCTGCTGGCTTCTCAGCTTCAGCTGATTGTCCTATCATATGTCAGTTCATGAAGCAGTTCTTTGTTGTTGTTTTTAAAGAAAGCTAGAAATATAGATTTCTATGAGGACTTTTTCCCATAAAAAAGAGTTGACCTAAGTTTATAAAACATCCTATTAGCCAAACAAAACACACTAGATTATGGCCTCTGACCTAGGAACAGTCAGAAGCAGCTGGGTTGAGGGAGGGCTGGGGGCTTCCTTTCCTCGGGGCTTTGCAGGTGGCAGAGCTAGAGTTACAGAGGAAACTTGGCAAACGCCTAAGGGTCTCAGATCATCCTGTCTTCTATCCTTCTCTTCCATTTGGCTACCCTGAGAGCGAATACCGTGCCCTCCCACTCTTTTAGGCTCTCCTTCCTTGCTTTTAATGTGTAAATACACATAATTGGAGCTTTCAGATCACCACTTCTTTGAAGAGTTTAACCTAACTTTTCCCATGGATTAAGTACTATAGATTGGATGCGTGTTATCAGGTGTATTCTGAGCCAAGCATTTTCCAAATCCTTCTTTCTTGGTCCGCAATCTTTCTCTTCCTAGTCACCCCACCTTGAAAGTGGAACCAGCATCTTTGCTTGGGCTGCGGGAACCTGGCCGTGCAGCAGGCTCGGGGTAAGCCCTGTAAGAGCAGCCAAGATAGTAGGACCAGGAGTGGTTGCTGTTGTGTAATCCCATGCAAGTGTCATTATCTGTTGCCAAACACTGAAAGAGAAGCCGGTTCCAGCTGATCATCATAAAAGCTTTCCCAGCGCTTGTGACTTCAGAGGCCGAGGAATCAGGGCAACCTGATGTATGTGGGAAGATGCATGCGCGATCAGCTCTTGCAA